AGCCTCTCCGATCTGAAGGCCGCACCGGGGCCTAGGGCGCCAAACCACCTCAATAAATACTCAAAACCATTTTCGTTTCTCGTCTCTCCAAATTGAAATGTAGCTCGCGAAAATTCAATTTGGTAGACGTCAGCCAAAAGCTACCCCCTCCAGGCCGGTTCGCTTCCCCAGCCTATCGCTCGGCAAACGCCCCCTTCCAATCATCCGTGCCGGACAGGCAGCCGCTTAAAAGCGGAGCAACTCCCACTCTCTGCCTTCTCGAAGCCTCGCAACCACCGCCTCCCCTCCTCCTCCTCTTCACCCTGCCTCCAACCTGCCTCCAATCTGCCTCCAATCTGCCTCCAATCTGCCTCCAATCTGCCTCCAATCTGCCTCCAATCTGCCTCCAATCTGCCAAAATGCCGCCACCAGTGCCTAGGTCCCGGGGGATTGTACGCGCTCCATCGCAGGAGCCTCTCCGATCTGAAGGCCGCACCGGGGCCTAGGGCGCCAAACCACCTCAATAAATACTCAAAACCATTTTCGTTTCTCGTCTCTCCAAATTGAATTGGCTTTTTTTTCTGCTGGAGTCCTTCTACATTCTATACAACAAGTATAATCTTTTACATGTAATGCATTCAAATGTCAGCTTTTTTACACATTAATAATTAAGTGGTGCCACTTTCACAGTCCAGTCACAAAAGTCACTCACAGACCAGAGTCACAAAGTGAGTTGACAAATGCCCACAACTTTGTCCTCTCACCCCACACAGAGATGGGAGTGGGGTCGCCGTCCATACGCATACTTATACCATGATCATGTGAATTTTGCACAGGGCTAAAAGTTTATGTGACTGTTTCCTACCAAGGACAAAGCATATTAACTCATATACCAATGAGTTAATTAGGACCTAATGGTAAAAAATAAAGCAAAGGTCAAAACACTGCAAAAACCATGAGATGAAGAATAGTTTAAAAACCCTAATTATCTAATACATGGCATATCACCACTAATCTATGGCAATCCCAAAATATATTGTCTAAAAAAAAAGAAGCTCTTTAGTGACTAAAATTGAGTTGTATTGGTATATATTTTTTGCTCTTGCCACTCACTGTAATAGTTTGTGATAATCATTTCCCCCACTTAGAATGCTGAAGAATGTTTATTTTCTTCAAACATAACTCCCTTTTGACATTTTGCCTGTGACAAAGCAAGCAACGTTAATGATTCACATTTGCATAATCTAGCTGTGCACTGTCAGTGCCTCCCGCCCTCTTTCACCATTATTTAAATCAAATCTCATTCATCATGAATTCAAATGCTTGAGTGCTCATACAACCAGTGCAGTGCAACATGAGATATATCGGTGTGTCTAATCTGCGATCTCTTCATTTGACATTTCACTTCACAAGTTGAATCGACCTGACCCTTATATGATGTTTAAAGTGCAACTAGTGGATTTCTATGTGTAATAGAGTTCACTTTGGGCGATATGGGAGATCATATTCTCAGTGTGTATGGTGAGTTTGCATTTCTGTACCATAAAACAAACATGTTTTCTGTACTTATGTATTCACTATTCACCTCAATCCATTTAAAGTGTGAGTCCAGGTGAGGGTTACGTTGGCTTTCTTTTTACAAATGCTGCATATGTACTTTAACGTGTTCCAGAACATTTCCGATTCATAGTTGAGCTCTTACTGTATTTATTTAATTGTTTTGTTCATACTATTCTTTATTCAAATGGCTCAATACAAATAGTGTCTGCAGAGAGGGTCATAATTTAACTTCCAGGAACCTGTTCAAATATTACAGCACAATTAACTTGAGAAGTGGACAATCATTTACGCATTAAAAGTTGTAACAATGCTTTTATTGTGGTTGCTTATAGAAATGCCAGACAGCCGTTATGTATATAAATTCTCACAGAACATTATGAGTGTGGAAGCATGAAAAATAGCTGTGGTGTAAAATATTATAATGACATGTCGTACTAAATAACTATGATGACTCAACCTTTATCATAACAAGCATCTTTCCTTTCTCACTGATTTAATTCGCATGGTCACTTTTGCAGAAACGTAAAGTCCTCATCTTCGTAATTGTTATTCTCCCCTTTTGAGCCTAAGTTCACGCTTGCTCTCCCTGATATAAAGGTTATTTGCTCCCTCCTCTGAGATATTGACTTCTCCAGTGTCAAACTGTTTCCGCTCCACAGTACTGAAACTCCAGCTCCGCCGCTCTGATCAAACGCTGCTCCGTGTTAATTCGCCTTCGACTTGAAAGAGCAGTGAGCTATGATCACATCATGCAGATTGCGCTGCCAGCAGGACGTCGAGTCATCGAACAAAGCACCTGCCCTGTCTGCTCACACCCACACTGCCACATGCACCGCACTTTAAGTAAATATATTGATCTGCATTCTAGTAAATACAACCGGAAAAAATTTGAAACCATGTGCATATGCTAACAAACTAAAATGTTGTGGTAAGTGTAAAAGGTGTGGACTAATTCTGGTTTATTATTTCCAGTTGATAAACAAAGTTTGAGATGTCTGTTGTGAGCTTGCACAATCACACAGATCTTGCTTTTTAATTTCCGATACTGATCTTTATACTTTGCCTCAAATCTCAACAGTGACGTGCGATGAAGTTGGTGATTGGTGAGGCACTGACTTCACCCCAATCAGATGAACACATACAGTATATCATTTATCAACAGGACCTACAGAGCGGCTTATTAATAATTTGTTTGGCTACTGCGGAATATGTTTCATGTCCGAATTGTTTGCCCATACAAAGTATGTAAAAAGCGTGTTATGGGCCTTACCTAAATGAACTCCATACACCACCAAGTCCAGATGATAGTTTGAGCCTAGAAGTAATCCTCCATTTGGAAATAAGGCCAGTTGAGCTGTAAAATGTTATAACAAACGGGTGTTTTCTCTCATGTTTCGCTAGCTGTCTGCAGCCAACTCTCTGGTGCATCCGATTTACTAAATCAACCTTCTTACCCTTCACCTCCCATCCTTATCATTCCTATCGTCATTGGAAGCATAAGATTGGCTTAAGATGTTTTAAATCATCTTGAAATATATTATATGTATTTTGGCCAAACCTGTTGCTGCTCTCAGCAGAGGAAGAACAAGAAAGGACTTTCTAATGGAATTGATGCAACCAAAGCCACGGTTGAGAGTGATAAAGACTCATATTTGTTTTCAAAAACACAATTTATGACCCATCCTCAACATGTTGATTGTAAATATGTTGCCGCGTTAAACAGAGAAAACAGTTCGATAGCACTGCACAGGCTTCTCCCTCTGAACTGAGGCATCCCAAGTGAGGCTCGCCTCTGTCAAATATGACAAAAGTCTGCAATTTCTTGGTAAAAATATATGAAATAAGGCAACGTTACATGCAGTAGCACAAATAACTTGCTATAGTGATCAAATCATTATCTCCATTCTATTCATTTTTCTTTCCATGATAGCAGGTGAGGCCGGGCCTCCCCTGCCTCCCCTGGCCACGCTCTTTTCATAATGGATTATAATTATTTATCCATCAAATCTGGTTGTCAGAATCCTCCCAACCTGCACCTTGCACCTCGCTGAAATCTCAAGGTGCCTTTCTGTCCAGCTGTCCCAGCGATGAACTTGTGTATGTATCAGTAAATAACCTTTTTATTTTGTTGATTATTGACAAATGAATACTCTCTATATAAACAATCTAATTATCTGAGAAAATGTTGGGTGCCCCTAAAGCAGTGGACCTGAATGAAAAGTTATGCACACACCAGTACAATGTTAATCTGGAGCCCTGCTTCAAGTAACACAGATCGACTTTGTAAAACTTGACGAAGTTCAGGAATCATATCAGCCAATAAATTGTTTGAATGGAAACGTTCAAACACGTTTTCCTGGATTGGCACTGATAGTTGATATTGATATCGGGGCATCCCTCTGTTAGTGATTGAGCAGGCTAGCTTTACTGAACTTGCATTTAAGTTTTGTCAGCCATTCTGTCAGTTCAAAACAGTTGGAACAGTTGACTTGATTGACAAGTTGTCTCAATGTGTTTTTACAGAGAACAACATCTACGGTCTGTAAGCAATAATTCTGCTTGCGTGGTTGAGAGGATTGTTTTATGTGCTGTCAGCCAGTAGCAAGTTTGTGGAAAACATGATAAACAAGATTATAATCAATTATAAGATCAACAGCAGCTTTATAATACCGCTCACAATCCAGTCACTATGTAGTGACATTCATGTTGTGAGCTTCATGAGTACTGTGGGTTTCTGAAAAGTACTAGCTTCTGCCCTGCAGAATGAAAGGCAGCACCTGCCCTGAATTTAGAGGAACTGTGGCACTATACAATTGTAAAGAATGGGCTGTGAGAGTGCTGCTCACGTCTCGAGTCATTACATTCCTCTTCACGTGGGGTCAGAGGTTTTCCAGAGCATGTCCAGGTCATGGCTGGAGCCAAGTAAGTAGTAAATCCAATTTTGTACAGTTCCATGTCTCTGCTGCCTAAGGCACGCTCTGCAGCCATTTAGGCTCCAATTTAATTTATATTATAATACATTTTTCATCTTTCCCATCGAACTTTGAGCAAGTATTCTCTGAAGATATGGCTTTCGAGCTGAGAACTTTCAGCATTAGTAATACTCAACACATTTCAAGATCTAAAACTTCACATCTAATTTTACATCCAAAGACGTTTGTGAAGTTTCTTTTAAAGGAGTATATATTGTGTATCACTTTTGATCATTTATTTTGGGTTAACTGATACACCAGTCTTATTATAACATGTATCAGTGAAAAACAAAAATAACCATAGTTGTTTTAACCTTTACCTTAAAATAAGCAACGTCATAGGTTGATTTTGTGCAAAAGCTGATTCAAACCATGTTATCTCTGTGTCAGAACAGTTTCCCAAATGCAATATTTCATGACTGAGGAATAGAGCCCAGGCTGCCGCCCATCAGTGAAAATAAAGGTTTGAATTATTGTACAGATACTCACCATCCTCTCGAGACCTCTGGATGAAAGCGTCAACTCCACTTTCTCCATAGTTTCCTTCTGAGGCTACCGTTGACACATAGTTCCACTGCATGGCCTTGACGATGTCGACCATGGCCTGGGCCTGGTAGGTGTCAGGGGGAACAACCCGCGAGAAGAAGTCGTATCGGGTGTTATCGCTGAGCTCTGGGGCTGTCGAGGCATAACTTATCTGAGGGATCTGAAGGAGACAGAAAGGGTAAATAATGTTTAGTGTCTTTTCACAATACTAGCATATAGAATTCTATTCACATTTTTCATTTTACTGCATAATGATCATATTGTAGGCAATTAAGCATATTTTTCTAATATCAACCATTATGCATAACACAATTGAAATAACTGTGTTGTAACTTTAATATTTGCACTGTAGCTTTTACATGGAAGTCACAATTTTAACCCCTCAAAGTGTATAGTTTGAAGGCTATTTGTTTGATTCCGTTTTGGTGTGTAAAGATATGATCTCTTAGTCGCCATGCAGCTCCTAAATGGTAGATCCTGACAGAAGCAAGGCAATCAATATGTGCCATTGGCCCCTCTGACTACCACCAATCATTCACACACAATGTAGGTAATGTGTAAGTGTCTTGCCTAAGGTCACGACAACAGTTTGTCCCTTACAGCCATCCTGCTGTGGCACCTGGTGTTCCATAGGTCTCCCATCACAGTGCTAACCATACCCTGCACTGTTTGCATTCATACTTCAACTAAAGAGCAGTAGTAATTCCTTGTGTTTGTGTCATATTTAGGCCTGAACAACAATTTGCTCAGATTTTTTTTGTTTACCCCTGTTAAATCTACCTTCATTTTCAAAAGAAACGTTTTTGGTTTCCTTATTCACAGTGCTAAACAGCACAGAAACAGATACATGTTCTCATTATGAAATTATGGGGAAATAAAAATTGTACATACACTGAGTAAAAATGTGTAACAAATAATTGAAACTTCGCTTTTGACTTTGTAGAAAGTAACATAATGAATGAATAAAATTCTAATTGAAAGCCCTCATTCTATGGATGATACAGACTAACAATGAACCATTGCAAAACTGAAATGGAATGGAAAAGGGTCCATAAAAGGTGTGGTTTGGTTTGAAGGCATGTTTAGTGCTGATGCTGATATTTTTCTTCCACACAGCTCAGGTCTTTGATGTGGTCTGGAGGCCTATCTGTGAACTGCTTTTGTGGCTGTAGCCACTGTCAGATCACAGCTGTTCAGCCTGCACCCCTGACCAGGACACCTCCACTACCTCTGTGATCATAAAGTATGGGTATTTTTGTCTTTTTTCATAAAGATTTCCTCGAAAACAAAGTGTCCAATAATGGTCCTTACACCATGTGTCCAACTTTTCTAAAGTCTGTCATCCAAGAAGAGATGAAAAGATTAGAACATGTTCTACATAAAGTCTTTTGCACCAGCGCATCAGGTCTGCCACAGCCTCTCCCTTGCTCTGCAGCCAGAATGCATTGCCAGCATGCAAGTATACTACTCACAATCAATGAATTGTGATGAAACAATTCCTTCATTTTGAGATATAATTTACTTTTTTCCAACCAAAAAATATGTTATCCATTAACAATGAAGATAGAACAGAACACTATGAGACAACTGAGTTAAGTTTAGAGTTTGTTGTTGGTGTTTACTTCAGAATGTTTAAAATCGTTAAGCACAACCTAATGTCAGTCATATTTTTAGGGGCTGATGAATATAATATAATAATAATATAATATAAGAGTAATACTTCGAGCTATGTCAAAATCAGTTGTGTATTCCCCCTTTAAGCTTTTAAATTCAAGAAGCAGTGCCCTGAACAACTCCAAATACATATGTAAATACATAAAAAGGCTTTGTTTCATCAACCATAACTATACAGACTACATAAAAGATATCGCTTTGAGCTGCATCAAATTTAACAATCAATGTAAGCTTGTTAAGTCCGTTCTCTGGAGCAGAGCGCCCGGGCGTTCAGTGTTAAGTTAGGGCCTGTGTCTTTGCAGCCTTCTGGACAGATGGCTGTCACACAAACGCTGTACTTACAGTCCTCTCTTCACTTGGGTGTCTTGTTTTGAGTGTGTGAGCTGTGAAAGATGCCGAACAGGATGAATAGGTTTCAGTCTTTGGTTCTGGGATTGAAGTTTTTTTACTTGACCCTCAGGGGCACTTTTTTGTTACATATGTTGCAACCATGACATTCTTAAAGACTTGAAAGGAGCAGTATGTCTTTTAAGCTCATAATAAAGTCATTACTATTACAACCTTTTACAAGGATGTGTCTAGTTTAGTGGACTCTTTTTAATGGTTTGTTTGTGGAGTTTCACCAGTCGCCTCAGTTAATTCCCCTGCACTCAGCACTCATGGATTTGCTTCTGAGTTCTCTAGACCAGCAAGATCAGGGCCAAATGGAGCTGGTAGGCAATTTTTTTTAGACCATACTTTTATACCAAGGTCAACATTGTTTTTATAGTGGATAGTTATGGGTTCAACATTTTGATTCAATTAAATTATACTGATGGTTTCTTGGAAAAATTCCCTCTAAAATAATGTAAAATATAGTAACATTTCCATTAACACTTACGGGTCATAATATTTGAATTGGTCTTGCGGGTGTCAGGGGTGTCAAACATGGCTCAGTATATTTATTCATGCAGACAGATTGTGTGTCAGTTAAAATGTTTTATATTTGACATAATGTACAGCTCAAACCTGAAAGTAACCTTTAACAGTTTTCTCCGACTCTTCTTAGAAGCACCTTGACGTGTTAGAGCCGTTTTTGTTTTATTCCCACCTTCTGCCTCTCACACTGCATTGACGTCACTGGGTGAAGAATAGGAGGTGGTGAAAAAGTGTTGAGCAGAGGTGTTTGTGGCATGTTCGTTAGTAAGCTTGTTTTAAATTAGTTCCTGTCCTACCCGTTGTTTTAGTGCTAGGTAATCTTTATTTGAGAGGAAGTAGTCTGTCACAACACATTTTAGTTTTGTGACCTGATTCCTAGCAGCTTGTTCCTGGAGTGGTCTTTTAAAACCAGATACGATATCATCAAAAATCCCCTCTGACACTATGCATCCTTGTACCTGTCAGTCCAACTTTATCATGGATTACACACACGTTCGCAGGGATGAACTTTGCAAAGCTGTACATCTATCATATTCCTTAGTGTCTTGAACAGTAACTGATAACTATTTTTTATTGAGATTTCTGAAATACAATTTACATCTAATATTATTTTTGCAAGTGAGAGAGGAGTGTAGAATGTGCTCTCACTGTCGAAGGGCACCAGAATCACAACTAAACTATGTAACATCTGTAATAATATTACATTACAAACAAAATACATACAACAATAACTGGTATTCTATGTTGATGGTGTTGCAGTAAAATCTTAAACATTGAGCATTTGTTATGAAACTCACAGACAGGATTCTGCTTCATAAACACATCACGCGTTTATCAGTAGCAGGAGAAGTGATGCGTGTCCAATGTACTTTGCAGTTGGTTGAAATAAATACATTGTTCTTGACCCCAATCTAAAAGTCTAAAAGTACATCCATGACATGTTAGTGCCATATGAACCAACTGGGAGCACAGGGACTGGCCTCCTGCTGGGGCCCAGAGTCAGGACTGAACATGGGAAGGCATTGTTATGGACCCTATGATTATACAATTGTATTTAAAACTATGTATCTTTATTTCATGGGCACTATTTCTTCTTCTTCAAGGTCCAATTTGAACAAAGCCTGAGCCTCCACCATAAAGGCTACGTTGAACACTTTTGAATAATTACATTGTGGATCAAAGAAAGGGTTTATATCTCACGAGCCAGTTAAAAAATATTAGTTTAACAATAGGCAAGGCAAGGCAAGTTTATTTGTATAGCACAATTCATACACAAGGCAACTCAAAGTGCTGAACAAAAATAAGAAAGCAGTAAAATCATAAATAATCACAGTACATTAAAAAGAAAATATAAAATATACAATCCCTCAATATGCAATGTATTCTTTTGATTATCATTCCCTGAACCTCTGGAATATCTCCTGGCTAGTTTTACTGAACAATTGTGTGTTGTATTTTTCACCTCACAGATTTCACTGCTGTAACAATCACACAATTTCACCATCCTGTCAGAAACCGGGACAGCCAGAGCTTATCATGTTTGTGTTGGCTAGATTTCCCACTCACTGGACTCTATCGATATGTAGTCCAGAACAAGGATCTTGCCCCCATAGAATGTCACCCACGAGCATGGGGTCAGATATGGTTTATTTTCCCAGCTAGGCCATCGTCTCAATGACCTTTGTAGAGACTCAAGACAGTGAGAAACTGATGCTATGAAAGTTGATATTCTCAGTAAAAGACAGAGACATACTCTGAAAACATAGGATGTAATGTACTGTATGTGAACTTGATCAGAATTCTTGATTTGGTTGCTAAGGCTGCGGAGTTTGTAGCCCTTATGGGTATACATAGTTCCCACAGACCAATGAATGTCACATGACCTCCTCGGAGACGCCATCTTTGATGGCACGCTGCTGTGTTTGTGCATTCCATTAAACAGAAGAATGAGAATAAATGTAGATATTCAAACGCAAATTGGAAAAAAAGGGCAACTTTTGAGCAAATAATTGTATATTAATACAATGGCACCACAGTTTAACGTACTACGGACATGTTTTACATATTTGATCAAATTATGCAGCAAAAATTAACAAGCAATGCAAACATTTCTCAAAAACTTTAGATTTAATACCAGTTGGAGCTCCATTTAATTATTTTAATTATATTAACAATTAATTTAATTAATGCTAATGCCACATGGATACTCTGGATTGCTGTTATTGTTTATTTCCGCGTTTTTGACCGTATGTTTTGGTGAATGGTGGGCAACTGATTTTTCCAGGCGTAAAGAGCAGTTTATTTTATGACACAGATCTTTTTACAGAAGCAATGCTGTTTGTGAACATTGTTTTAGCCCACCATAGAACTATTATTATCTATTTAATACATTTACGTTGCCCTCGAGAGCCTCGGACGCGACACCGATCCTCCTCATAATAAAGTAATCTAAATAATGAAACTCTCAAGTTACCAGCTATCAGCATACACAAGTTAGTACTGAGTAAATTACGTCTGTCAACACATTATAAGATACGATACGCACCTGACACAAAGTGCTCCGAGCATATTCTTGCGTGTTTTGAGGGAGTTTCTTGCCTGTTTATCTTCGCAAGCCATAACCTCTGTGGTTGTTCTGACAAAAGCTTAGTCTTCTCACATTCATGAAGTCTAATGATGGGTATACTGTAAAATCCAAGTTTAACGGAACCTCCGGCACGATTTGAACATCCATTGACCCAGCAGGAGATGACCATTTTCAACTTTATCACGACATTAACACGTTTCAGCTTCTTTTTCTATTGTTTTGCCCACAGCATGCCAACACAAATGGTGCCGGGTCGGCAAATCCCCGTATGTAGTGACGTCATGTGGGAACTATGTATATTTAAACATTCCTACAAGGCGGCATAGTTTTAGTCATTCTCTGTGTACTTCCCTTCTGCGCGGGATGGATCTATATCCTCTTTGTGACCATTTCCTTCCCACAGCTCTATAGAAATGTGTTGCCCCACCACCCTGGCTGTACCTACTTTATCACTAATGGGCTTTGCAAATGATGTCTAATTGCTGTGAGGTGAGTCACAAGCAGGTTTCTGATGTAAATTTAATGTTCAAATCGCTTGCCTTAAATAACAGCACCTTTTTATAAAATTCAATGAGGTTATTTAGCTCAACCTCATGTTGAAGTAATGATGCTCATTAGGACTATACAGAAACCTTATACAATATGTTTGCATGAATTGGGGAAGGGCTGCATATGTTTCAGTAATAGCTTCCTGCATGTCTAAGGGACGTGATTTTATTCATTCAACAGAACATTTTTAGTATGGTGTTTTTCCTCATAGATTTTTATACCACAAAAGAACAATTCTAGAATTTTGCTTTAACATCAAACGTACATTACAGCCGCAATAATTCTTTAGAGAAATTCTTTACATTTGTAAACAATACTTGCATGGACAGAGCTTTGTCCGTGATGAAATTGTGTTAGAGACATGTTTGTGGAGAGAACAATTTTGTAACATGGTTAAAAACATGACAATATATTTAATTACATATACATATTTGTAGTAGTTTCATTATTGTACTGTGAAATGACAATACAGGTGAAAGTCAGAATCGTCTTCATACAAAAACATTTATTAGAAAACATAGTTTGGTGATTATGGCTTACTGTCCATTTTCAATATATTCTGTTTGGGGGTTTTATAAGCTGCGAGACAATTGTTAACATTATAGGCAGGGGTGCACATAACTTTTTCAGTGAGGTACTCAGATGAGTACCAGGACATGGTGTTTGGTTTCGCGCGGTTCTTAATCGAGATTTTATACTTGCTTCTTTTTAATGCTAAAGTTTAGATCACCTCAGATAATCCACTCAATCCAAGTCAAATAACCCATTAAGGCCTGACACACCTGATAAAACCGACCTGTACAACCTACGTACGATTTTAGAACCACCCTCCAAAACCTGAGGTTTTCCTGAAATTCAACGTTTACAGAATGATTGATATCTCAGCCTCTGTAGCAGATAGAAACATAATTTCAAAAGAATTTGAGAGCTGACACACTTGACACAATAAAAATGCAGTGTATTATAATAATCGTTCATTAATTAATATTAATATACAACTTCCACGCAGGAAAGTTGGTAGAGCGTTGGCCTTTGAACCAGAAGGTCGTGGGTTCAAGCCCCGCTCAAGACTTTCACCATCGACTCCCACTGACTACTGTCGTTGTGTCCTTGGCAAGACACTTAACCTCTGGGAACACCAGCCACAGTGCCGGCTGCGGCTGTAAAGTGCCAAACTGCCGTTGTGTCCTTAGGCAAGACACTTCACCCCCATTGCCTAGAATGAGTCTGGTGTGTGTGAATGGTTGGTGGTGGTCGGAGGGGCCGATGGCGCGTACTGGTTGCCTCGCTTCTGTCAGTGTGCCCCAGGGCAGCTGTGGTTGCCATACACCACCGTGTATGGAGTGAATGAATAATGACATGTAAAGCGTCTTTGAGTGTCCAAAAAAGCGCTATATAAAACCGATGCATTATTATTATTATTATTATTATAACACATGTTTCTCAAAACAGTAAGTCAAAAGGAGTTTGGCAATAAAGTGGCACTATGTGGATTTTTTTTTTTTTTAAACCACTCTCGGCCCAAAAACTCAAATAATGACTCACAGGGCTCTTTCTTAAAAAAGTAAAATAAAAAAAAGACTGTTTTGGTTTGTTCTGTTTGATTTGGTCACAACATTTTACTTTTATGCACAAAAAACAAGCATTTTCAATGCAAGCGAAAATGTAGGTACCTGATCTTTAATTCAGTGAGTTTTGGCTGCACTTCGTGTGGAGACTTGGGGGAGACGTGGGAGAAGCATGGGGGAGAGACGGGGGAGACAGGAAAGACCTGCACGTGCAACAACCTGGGGATGATCGCGTGTCTATGGTTCTGTACGCGCGTCTATGGTCCGCGCTCGGTCCATGACCACTCGCGTTCGCGGAGCTGTCAAAGCGGCCACAGTTTCTCCCGGGGTCAGAACGGAGGATGTTATTGCACCATGCCCCACTATTTGAGAAGGACTGGTCTATGTGAAGTACGCAAAGGTGCTTACTAAGTCAAGTGATGGTACGCATTTCTGATATTTGTTGCGCATGCGTACCTGCGTATCACTTATGTGCACCCCTGATTATAG